CCTTAAAAAAGTTCTTTATTTACGCTACGGAACCATTTTGGTGGTGCCAAACTTAAAATAGTTTGGTGGGCCATCACTAAACCGGAATGGCTTGGTGGGCTACCTTTTTTTTTTTCAGTGTGGAGTGTCAAGGGAATTATTCATTGGGAAATTCTTCCTGCTGGCTGCACCGTCACTGCTGATCTCTACTGTCAGCAACTAGATCGAGTTGCAGCAAAACCTCATGGGAAGCAGAATAGAATTTATTTTCTGCATGACAATGCCAGAACTCATATTGCAAAGTTGACGCGTGAAAAATTATTGAAGCTCGGATGGATTACACTTCCACATCCACCTTACTCTCCTGACTTGGCTCCAACAGACTACCAGTTGTTTCGTTCTCTTTCTAACTATTTCGGCGACGAGAACGACCCCAGAATAGAGCTGACCAACTTCTTCGCTCAAAAGTCTCAAGACTTCTATGAACGTGGGATTCTTTCTTTACCAACGCGTTGGCAGCAAGTCATAAAAACTTTCTGCTCAACCCAATATTTCATGTGGATTAATGTTTATCCGTATAGGCATAGGAAATCATGGTAATTCTCTTTCTCTTCCAGAGCCGTTTAGATTATGTTCGGATGACAGTGACTGAAGGAATTATTTTCGTCTCATACTGTTCTTCTATCAAAAAGCAAAAAAACAAAAGCTGTGCATTGCAAACACTTACAATCGTCAAATTCAGTGATGGATTATAGGTGGCAAATTTGGTGTTAATATTGCTGGAGATCCTAGTATAAAGTATGTGAATAGTCCGAATATATTTTCTCACCCATTCAGTATAGCTCTTAACAACAAAAATAGACGCATTATTCGATTCGAACTTATCTAAACATCCGACTTTTTGTTGTTGTGTTCATATACATATTTAAAACGATAAATAACGTTAAGACATGCTATTCTTTAAAAGAATTAATCATGCAGAAACTTGCTGACATAATTTTTATAAGGCTTCATACAATAGCTACTAAAATTTTAAAGCAAATTTTTTATTTATAATTATAATTTTTGCACAAAATAAACATTCAAAATTCACGAATTCTTTGAGTTTATATGAGTTATGTTATAATGAGAACGTGATATTTTATTGAGGAATATCTTTTTGATCTTTAATCATTGGAATAACCCTTGGCTTTTGACGACAAAGATGAATTTGTGGCGTGATATAAACTAAAGCTAAACTCAATGTTAAAACGCATACTGATACACTTAATATAAGAATACGATAGAAACAAATAACAAGTTCATTAGTAAAAGCTAAAATTAGTAACATGATTGCAGTTGGTAAACCATATATGCCTAGGAGAATAACAACAATAAGAATACGACGAAAAATCTTCATATCTCGATGACGAAATCTTTTAAATTCGGAAAAATTTCGATTTAAACTTTGTTGACGTAAAAATTGAATAAGTCGAATATAAACCAATACTATTGAAAGAAAAGGTATTCCATAGATTATTAATATTGAATATGCAATACTTCGAGGATCATCTTTTGGTACTAAACAAGCGTTTTCACTAGGAATTAATTCTTGACCATGCCATAATAGTAAGGGCAGATTTAATAGAAAAGAAAATAACCAAAATAATGGAATAATAAACCAATATGTACGGAAATTCAAAAGATTTTGCCGAGAAACATAAATCAAACGACAAAGACGAAAAGTAGCCTAAAAATTCGAATTTTATTTCTACCGAACAAAAAGGAACAAATATTCGTTACTTGTAAAATAAATGCAAGATAAACAGCTGACATGAATACATAGAAAATATATGAATTCATACGACAAGATAATGTTTCTTTTTCATTATTTACTTCCTTTAAATCACCATGATAGATTCGAATATTAATTGTAAGTGTTAAAATGCCAAGAATAAATAGTAACAAATAATTATTTGCACAAAGAAGTAATTGAATATTATAAAGAGTTTTTCTTCGTAATAAAATGTATATCAATACAATCAATGCTATGATTGTACCAAATATAGTTATTGTTAATGAGATAATATTTATACCAAAACATGTTTTATTTTTCATTGAAATAAAGTCAAACAGAAATGTTATTGAGTAGTTTTTTCATTTTTGAAGAAAAATTCAATTATCTTTGTNTATTATAAAGAGTTTTTCTTCGTAATAAAATGTATATCAATACAATCAATGCTATGATTGTACCAAATATAGTTATTGTTAATGAGATAATATTTATACCAAAACATGTTTTATTTTTCATTGAAATAAAGTCAAACAGAAATGTTATTGAGTAGTTTTTTCATTTTTGAAGAAAAATTCAATTATCTTTGTTTTTTCCTCATTAAATCCCAAAATTAATCTTCTTATCTTTCTTTATTATAAAGAGATTATCTCCATTCTCATAAACGATTGAAATTTTAAATATAAACTTTCAACAATGTAACTACTGTCTCAGTTTCCATCAAATTTGACATAATGTCTGCAGTTTTGAAGCGATATTTGTACCATTGTTAGATTTCTTTTTACACATAGTTTGACATTCAATTCACGCAACTTCCAATATTTTAATTTCAGAAAATAAATGAAATAAAATAATCTGCAAAGATTAGATTATTTGTCTATTTGAAAAATAGTTTGACCTCATTCTCTTTCTCGTACATGCATTGTTTGCATTCGTATAATGACTGCTGTCTTACATCAAAAATAAACTCGAACAGTTCGTCGTATTTCTCGCTCTAAAAAGATATTGAATAATGCTGTAAGTGCAACATTGAACAGGTATTGTACCAATAACGATTATAATCAAAGCACTTCGAAAAACACTGTCCGACTAAAGCATGAGTAAAATAAGAACGAAATCGAGAAGTAAGGTTACAGGGTGTATCAAAATTATAGACCCCCCTGACACACGCATACGAAAATGTTTATTTTATTTCAGCAACAAGAGATATTGATCGACCAATGGTATGTGGATGTAGGTCCATCTAAAGTCTATTTACCAGTCTAATATCCTCTTTAGGTATCCTTGGAAATTGAGAAGAAAACTGTCAAATTCTGAAAATTGACTGTCCCATAATTATAGACTCCCTATGGCAAGATTCTTTTTCCAACTTTCCGATTCGGTTTAGCCCCGGGTTTTGGATATAGTATTGCGCTACAAATCATCCGCCACTTATCTCGAATACTTCGAGCTATTAACCAGAAAATTTTTAGGTCAAATTCTAACAATACGAAGTATATAACGGAGGTCTCTCATGCATTAGTGAGATCTCATTGGTCGATACTTTTTTCGACACTTTTCTCTGTTCAGAACTGCTTTAATGTGCGTAGCTTATCAAGCCAATGTCATTTTAATTGAAACCGAGTTGATCAAAGTGTAGTTTGATGGAGTCCAACGCGATAACTATGATTAGAACCCCTTATCCTATGGGTAGTCCATAGGAAATCTCCCAATTCTATGATTACTTGAATGG